GAGCGGACCCACCCACTGCGAGGAGCCAGGGATACAAGGGTCTGGAGAGGCGAAATGGCTGAACCCGACCCTTTCCCTTCCTTCCCTCATCAGGCTGCCTCTGAAATTGAAATATAAATAATTCAACAACAGGCAGGCAACTGGAGCCCAAAGTCCAGGAAAAGATGGATATGGTGGAAGGGATGGTGAGACGGGCCTCCCTCCCGCCCATCAGCCTCCCCCCAGCCACGACACTGCCTGGCACCCACGGCACAAGGTTCCTGCTCATCAGCCTCCCCCCAGCCACGACACTGCCTGGCACCCACGGCACAAGGTGCACAGCAGCTTCCTGCCTTCTCCCAAAACCCAAGAGAAGGGCTGAGCAGGCTCCGGAAACCAGGTCAGGAAGGGCGCAAATTCTTCCTCACCAATTCTCGGTTTCCCATCCCACCTCTTCCCCAGAGAAGAGACCCTGGGCTTCCAGGCCTGGCCCCTGCCATTTCCCTAGAATTCCACTCTTGGAGCCAGGACCCAACTGTCCCCTCACCCCCAACCCGGCGTCATTGGTGGGGAGGCTGACGTCAGGTGGGGTCCCACGAGAGCTGGAGGAGGGGAAGGGGTAGGAACACCTAATGATGACCCCCATTCCCCAGGGCAGTGCAGTCAGCTAGCTAACGACCCTCTGGTGCTGAAAGGCCGAGCCTCCCTCCCTACCCCCACCCGTGTTTCCGGATGCTGCTGACACTCCCATGGGAAGAGAAAGGGACACAGCTTGTCTCCCAGCCTCCCCCACCTGCCCTCCCCAAGTTGCCCTAGGCAACTGGTATCTTCACCCTGGAAACAACTTTGGTCTCTGGCAAGTGGGAAGAACAGGAGACCCTCCTCCTGCTCTGTGGCTATGCCAGCCTCCAACCCCTGCCCTGGGGAGCTGCTGCCCTTTCCTTACCTGGGGTGGTGATCCTGTGGGGGGCTAAGGGGGGTAGGAGAACTCGGACCTGATGGAAGAAGGGACAGAGGGAAGAGATGAGTTAGGCTCCCCTTACCACATCTCTTCAAAGTAAACGTGGAAATCCAGGATGAGGCTACTGAGGCTAGGGTAGGGGCGATGCTGCCCTGGAAGCTGGTGGCATTTCGTTTGGTTGTAAAGGTACTGCCGCTTCCTGCCTGGAGAAGTGAGGGCAGGGAATGGAATGGCCCCTAGCCAGAAACTCCAATAACTGCAGGGACAACCTTGGGGACAGAGGTGACTGGGAGAATTTGTGGGGTGTGACGGCCACTCCCATGTTAAAACCCTCAGAATCCAACAGCCTTCAGAGCAAAAGCACCCGCTAAGGACAATAGAGGCTAATTTGCATCTCATTTACATGCTCTTCATTTCCCCGCAAAATGATCTGATAGCAGCACCCCAAACCCTTCCCTCTTTCCTGCCTCCTTCCCACCCAATCCCTTTTCAGGAGCTCCCCCCTGCCCCCAACACACACACTTTAGGCTCCAATTGTCCAGCTCCTAAAAGCACTGAATTGCCCTTTGCATGAGTCCTCTAGACTCAACTATGACACATTGTTAAGAGGGTTTCTCTGGTCGTTTTTGGGGAGCAGCATCTGGGCGGCTCCCACCCAACCTCTGGCCTGGGGAAAGGCTTACTGTGCCCAGGTGGAATCCCAGCTGCTTCATACCCTCCAGCTAAAGCAAATGGGAGAGACGCGGCCGACTTTCTCTCCCTTCTAGATCCTCTCCTCACTACAAGAGGAAACAGCCTTCTCTCCTTCTGGCCTTGCAGCCACCTCTGGGGAGTGGCCGGGGTCATAGCCAGAGTCTACCGAGCTGGGGAAGAGATGGAGAAGGGGAGACCGGCTGGGGACAATAGCAGGAAGCCATCCGGCTGGTCGCCCGCCCCTGTCCACCTTCCTCAGGCGGAGCGGGGGTGCACTGAAGAGCTTCGTCCAAGGGGCGCGCTCCGTCCTCCAAGACATCTCATCTTCCCCACCCTTCGCTCTGAGCCCCAGCTCTGCACGACCCTCCCACCCAACCCCCACGGGGATAATCCAGGTGTCAAGAGCCTCACAGGAGGTGGGCAAGGGGCCAGGGGCTCGACGTGTCTCCCCTTGGCTGGATCCAGGGCTCTGAGGAGGGGCGGGTAGCAGAGTCTGGGCCGGGACCGGGTCCCAGAGCCACGTTAGCGGGAGGAGGGGCTGGAGGGGCCTGCAGGAGCAGACCGAGAGGGGATCCGAGCTGGGGTTGGAGAGCGGAGGCGGGTCTCCCAGGCCGGGAAAACAGGGCCAGAGGCTGGGAACTGACGAGGGCGGGCCCGAGGCCGGCGCTGAGAGGGGTCCACGGGCCCGGGATGCAGCAGCCAGCTCGGCTCCCCTCCTTTGGAGACCTCAGACTAACAAAGCCCCCGCCCAC